TACTGATTATAAAACTGAACATTGTTATTGTTACTCCACGGAACATGGTTCGAATCCCAGCTGTAATTATCCTTTCACCGCGATGTGTAGTGTAATTATGTGCCTCGTACATTCGTTCTCTCTTATGCAAACTCCTCGCATGCCCTCTATTGATATAACGTTTTTATATCACTTGAAACAGCGTCATTAAACTCAATAATGAACAGCCTCTTCCTCGCCATTGTGGGCCTTTGTCTCCTAGTTGCTCCTGGTTAAAGCGTGCTGCTGTCTGGCTGTTCAGAATGCCGCCGGCTGTTCCTTCTAGTCCTCCGTGTTTACTGATAACTTGTTGCGATATGTCCCACTTTCTTCTTTAGAGTTACAACACCGTACCTTTGTCACTTGTTAAGAAAACAATGGCAGACAAGAATTCTTTCGTTGTCCCATCTCGGAGTTGTATTTTTATTTTAACACCTTCACTTACACCATACCAGAATTTCATCCATTGTTTTAATAGTTAATAATCCTCACGTCGCTTCATTAGTCAAGGTCGTCAGAGGGCACGTCGAGCGAGTGAACATGGCGCATGGCGCAAAGCCACAGATGAGAAAAACCCTGCAAGGGGTAATCGTTTCTGGTCGGTGCGGGGGGGGGATGTTTACTGCCTGGTCGACTAGAGGGCTGCTATTGGTGGGAAATGTGCTACGTCAGAGTTTTACTCTACTACACAGACTGAAAATATCAAGCAGTTAAGAGTAGCGTGTAGTGAGTGCACCTCTAATGTGTTCTGCGGGTGTTGCGATAATATTCTAGATTAAATCACTATGCCACTGTGAGGTAATCTTAAAGCTGTACCCATTAGAACACATGAAAGATTGTTATCTGTTGTTCGTTCAGTGGTTGTGGAACGAATGCTTTTAGGATGGGTCGTCACTCACCGCGAAATCTTGCGCATGCGCGTATATCGAATTCTTAGCAGGGATTTTCTCCTGGTCTGCGGACTGTACGTTGATTGTCCTGTAATAACTTTGTAATTAATCGGCTGTTTTTTTTTTTTTTGAAAACTGAACATAAACTTTTAGTTTTTTTTCTACAAATGCCACATTTTCCAACGAGATGGCAGTGTGAGCTTTTGAAACGAGAGCAATACTACTTTATTCAAAGTAGGCCCGTGAGAATTTGATTGTGAGAAATGAAATAAGAAAGAATTTTGAAGAAAACATTTATAGAAGATCGAAGGAAATGATTTAAGAACGGAAAGGGAATTGGAAGGTCATGGAAAGAAACAATCTCGAATCCAACAGTTGACGTCACATCCGCTTTGTTCTCATTTGAATTCCAGAAGCGTACGGCGTGCGACACGCGTTTTTCCTTTGTCTCGTAATTGAAAATCGGTGTTTGAAAAAAACCCCGTTAAAAAGAACATTACTACCGGTAAAGTAAACTTCGCTTTGGGCTTCGTCATTGGCTGATAATTCTGTATAAATGTTTTAAATGGTGTTCGAAAGCTTTAGGATAATGAACCGCTGCTTTTGAGTTCAGGGATGAACAATCTCAGTATCACTGTGGCTTTCTGACGTCATAGACCACAGCCAACGTCATTGACAAGTGCAATCATATTTTGTGCCACTTATAAGGTACGTGTTAGATGGTTCTGGGGTCCACAAAGATTTTGTCCGACGGATATCAAGAGTTCCCTAGGGATGAACCTTCCGGATCGTGAATGCCTGGAGCTTTCTCTTCACTCCGCTTGTACTGTTTCATGTCATGGTTCCTAGTCAGGGCAATTACACCTTTATTAATACCAGACAAAAGAATTCGTCCTTCTCGACCAAATAATATTCGCTCAGCTAGGCAAGAAATTTCTCATATTTTCTGTATTCCGAGGTTCATTACCGTGTTAACAAGAGCCAGCCACTAAAAACATGTTCTAAACCTGATGAATCCAGTCTACATCCTTGCGCGCTGTTTTTTTTCAGTGTCATTTTAATATTATCTTAAGAATATGCCGACGTGTCCTTTGTCTCCTATCCTCAAAATTTCTGACTAAACGTTTGCATTTCTAATTTTACCCATGCGTGCTACGTGCCTCACCCATACCTAGCATATATACGTTTATGAACAATTATGTTACTCTAAATGATGTGGTCTGCAAAAATAGTTTTAAATTAAAATTATTTGGTTATTCCGTCAAATCACAATGTATTTAAAATAAGATAATTAAAATAATTAAAATATCATTCTGTGTTCCATATCGAATGATCGATTTACAATCGGAACAGTTACAACATGTTTCGGTTTTATTAAACCATCATCAGGTGTAAAATTATATTCAGTAATAAACCTTGATCGGATACGGTAATATTTCTGGATCACCTCCAGACACAACTGTGTTGTCTACTATTTCATCTCTGACCGATGTAAACATCAAAAGCATCACTTCAAACAATAAAGTTGATCCATTATATGAAAATATCTGGACACGACCTCCAAAACTACACTACGAAAAATTTTTAAAAAATTGTAATTGAGTTTTAAATTTAATATAATTTTACACCTGATGATGGTTTAATAAAACCGAAACATGTTGTAACTGTTCCAATTGTAAATCGATTATTCGATATGGAACAAAGAATGATATTTTAATTATTTTAATTATCTTATTTTGTTCATATACGTTCTTGGCGGATGATCCAGAAGTGGTTTGCCATTGCCTTCTTTTGTGTGTGAATGGAGTAATTGTTGGGATGCCCGGGAGGAAAACTCCGTGTTGCCTAGACCACGGCCTTGCCCAACACAAGTTATAAATTCGGGCACCGCCGGGAATCGAACCCGAGACCCCAGGATTACAAGGCTAGCCTTCTAACCGCTAGACCACCGTGGCACGATGACGCAACTACACTATCTTAAAAATAGTTTTGTTTGTTGGTGAATAACCTTATTGTATCGTTAAGGTTGACAGTCTGTCTGAAAAAACAACTTTATGATTATATCTCAGTGCTTATTAAAATACCACATTTTTAAATATATAATACAATATTTTAATAAACATTGAGACTATAATCATAAAACGCGTTGAGCAGACGGAATTTCGATGCGTCCCTTAAAACTAAAAAAAAGGACACTGTAACTTACGAGATACGCGGACTCAAATTTCGTTCTGAGATACCACCGGGTGGCCAGCACCTGAAGACATTTTCGCTGTCACATCCTTCAAGTCTCCACTATTTTCCCTCTGCGGTTTATATGTTTGTAGCACTGCGAAATAATCGACTAAGCCTATTTGGATAATCCTTTGTTAATTTTTAACCTAAGTCAGAAAATATTACAGAATCTTCCTTGAGCAGTTCAGCTGATGAATTTCTTATTATAGAAGCCGACACGTCGTCACTTTGACACAAGCCCACAGTTGGATCCAGTTCTCTGTAATTCTCATCCTTACACCCGTGTCTCTGAG